CTCTCTCTCTCTCTCAATCAATCTCTCTCTCTCTCTCCCTTTCTCTCGTTTCACGTACATCCACACGCACACACACACACACGCAATGTGCTACGAACTCAACTCTTTCGCTCCCTGCCGCGCTGCCGCAGCTGCCCGTCCTGGACACGGTCCCGTAGCGCCCTGGCCCCGCCATGCTGTGTCCCTGGCCCCCCATCGGACCCATGGACATGTGGGACATGCCGTGGTGACCCATGGGGCCGCCCATTGGACCGCCCATGGGGCCTCCCATCTGACCGCCCATAGGTCCACCCATCGGACCCCCCATGGGGCCGTGGCTGCCCCCGTGTCCCCCGTGCCCCCCGTGGCCCCCGTGGCCGGGGAGCGTGTGCGTCCGCCCGTGGCTCTGCGCGCCCTGCAGGGCCACCTGCAACGACAGCCGACAGGCGTTATTGTTGCCTAGCACTGAAATTGTGAAAAATATTAGGCAACACACAGTTATCTGTTTCTTTTCGGTTGTCATCCGGGACCTTTCACTACGTTGATCTACATTTCTGACTGTCTATTTGATCGTTAACAACATCTTTTCTAAGACAGATTGTTTTAGGTTTTTGAGACTAACATGACACGACGCGTAATGCGTGGTCCGTAGTGTGCACATGAAACTTAAATAGATACTCGCGGCGCTCCGACTTTCTAAACTAAAACGAACTAAATCGATTTGGTCGGGGGCGTCGCTTTACATGAAGATGCTGTAACTTACATATTGGTAATGAGTGGAGGCGTGCGAGTTTCCAGGAATCGGTCCGCAGCCCGGCGGCGGGCCGGCCGAACCCTAGACACACAAGGAAGGCATGGTGCACACACATCAACGGAATGTTATGCGCGGTTCTCACCCTCTCAAAAATACACTCTTCAAAACATTTTAGACATCAAAATATATCATGCATTGTTTGCTCACTCAGTTTTGGCGTTTCCGTTAAAATCCTGAGTGCAATTTGAAGTTCGCATTGTTTGCGCCCTTCGTGCTCCAGAATTAACTGGGCCACTGAGTTCTCATGCAACAGGGCCCAACGCCTCACTCCTCAGTGGCAACAAACCAAAATATATTTTCCTCGTTTCAAAACCCTTTTTATAAACAAGTAACGTTTAGCCCAATGGGTGCGGCTATGCTGGCATGACGGTCTGCGTCTGCCTTCAGAGAGTATCGTGATTAACTAGCAAACTTAGATGGAGGAAAGGTATTTCAATGAAAATTGCATTAAGGCATGAAAGGTTAGACAGCTGTCCAATATCTCATGCACTAACGTGAAGTATGAAGATGAGAAGGGGAAATCTCGTAGCGAGAAAAGAAACAAGTCTACTTATGAGGAGAAAGTGGAAGAATAAAATATTTTAAAAAAACGAATCAAATATATATGATAAATGTGACAAATGTGCGTATATATACAATATTATAGTTTTCACGTCTTGCTCAGCTCAAAATTCTAAAATATAACAAAAATACTCATAAGAATTTGTGAAACCGACGAAGCTTTAGGTAAACGTTGCGCTGCGACCGCGCTATCTCTACGTTTTGTGCACACACTCGTCTCGTAGTGATGGGGATGCCTCTGGTGCCCTGGCGGGTGCCCTGGTGTGTGGCAGCTTACACCCATACAGAGAGGGAAGGGCGGTGGCGGGGACAGGGCGGTTACAGGCCAAGGCGAGGCAGTGGCGGCAGTCTATCAGAACCCAGTACTACAAAGCGTCGGAGGTCGTCTGGCGTCTGTTGCAGCGACTCCATCAACAAACGGACGGATGGAAAAAGAGAATACTTGCTGAGCCGAGCCGGGCTGTTGAGTAGAGCCCTGCTGTCGAGCGGTGAAAGACAGAGCGCGCGCTTTCGCGGCAGGGCAACCAAGCACTGAATAAGGCGGTCTGTTGTTGGTTTGAAGTTCTGCTGATCGTTGGCCAACCCGCCTGCCCCGTGGGCTGTCCTCCTGGATAGCCTGCAGGCGGGACTCGTGTCCTACAGTTCTACTCAACAAGTGCTGTGCTACTGCAGCAGGCATTGCAGGCAATTTTTCAACCAGTGCTTCCCTCCCATTTTGTGGCCGTGTCTTTTAAACCCTTGTTGTTTGGACATTGACAGATCAAAGTACATGTTGCCAATTTACTCTTTATTCAACACAGTCACTGGAATTCCAAGTTTACAAATTTGTTCACCAGCTTAATGTGCACATCGAAAGCTATGGGGCGTTCATAATCCAAACAATAACTTTTGACGTTTTGCTCAATACAATTACTCAATTTCTTTGGGGAAAGCAAGGAAATCTTGAAAACTGAACATAATGCGTATCTTCAAGATTTTACTGCGCTTTTCCTCGTGTCAAGGCTATGACACCGCGGTGTCTCGGATTTGCCTACACGAGGTAGGCAAACCAGCACGATGCAGTATCGTAGCGTAAACACACTGTACACTGATAAGTGCTCAAACATAATTTTGTTTTGCCAGAAATTGTTTCTTTCTGTAAGCAGTTTTCGAGTGCACACCCACCGTTCTGAGGTAAACGAAACCTAACGTTAAAAACAACTACATCTAAATCCTTCTTTTCAATCTTATGGAATAAAATTAAGGGGTATATAAATGCTACAAACGTTTAAAGGCTGTTGTGCCATTTCAATGACAAGAGATCTATCTCTGGTAGGACGAAATATGACGGCAAGGACTGTTCTACATTTCATAAGGCTAGTAATAAGAATCACATAATAATACTTATCAAATCACAATAGACTAAATAGTGACAACACAGTTTCGTCCATAAATATAGTGAAAGGGTCGGATTGGTGTACATGATGCTTTTTTGAGTGGTTTTGGATGACAGATTACACTTAGCCGTATAGAAAAATTACAGTCCGGATGTCCACGAAAATATTTCTGGAACTCTCAGGAGTTTTTGTACAGTCTGTTATCATATTTGATGTTATAGTTATTTATAAAAGGCTGGTTTTAACGAGAGAAAAGTATGTGTACACTACACGTAGAGGATCAATTTTATTCCGAAAAGCGCAACGTTTTCGTGCACATCCATGCCGGACGTAACTATGTTCCTAAAATTGAAAATGTCCAATTTAGGAACAAAATTGCCTCCTGGCCGGATATGCACGAAAACATTGCCTTTTTCCGAAAAAATTACCATTTTTTTGTAGAGTGTAATTAAAGCAAAGTTCACTGTAGAACAACGAATCATATCACCACCCGAGGCGTTCAAATTGAATGAACTCTCGGGAGCCATTAGATATTTCCGAGGAACCCAGAAAACAATCAAAACTTTAGATCTGTAATATTTTGAGGTTGTGCCTTTAGAAAATGGGAGTATGTAGCCTACATTCTTATGACATGAAAAAAAAAACCTGGGCAAGTATACGAAGACTTTACACATTCTACATGTATTCGGAAGTAGAAAGACCGTTTAAACTGTTTAAATCTGCTTTGACACATGCTAAAAAAATGTATAACTTCAATATCCAATTACATCCAACCGACAGATTATTATAAAAGAAACACCGCTAGATTCACATTGGTAAAACGTAATGTGGTTAGAATTGACGAGTAAAATACCCGTGGTTACACGACTTATCCTCCATCCCCTATAATATCGAAAGACTATAAGAGCGATAAACTGTACACTATCTACCGGTCATTGACAGGCATGAGCTTGAGCCATGGTTCAACTATGGCTTTTGATATAAAACTAGTTTAGACTCTTTATGTGCGCAAAATTTCTATGCATATATCGAAGACACATTTTTGTGCACTGCGCGTAATAAAAGCACAAAGCAGATGTCAGTCGATTTATATTTGTCGCCGATAAGCTTTAGACGCTCATCGGCATTGATATGTACGATACGCTATTTGAGGCACTCGTTACTCAGAGTAAGAGAAGCCCTATTACGCCGTGTAACCACATGATGCTGCATCATGAGCAGCAGGGGAAAATAAATAGGAAAATTAATAAACTTACTGATAAAACGTAATACCCCTATCAGTATTGGGGAGCACTAAATGACTTAAAATCCGAATAGAATAGAGCAGTGAGCATCAAAAGACACTTAATTATTGTACAATCGATTCTTAAAATAACCATCAAAAACCTTTTATAAAATGGAGTTCGAAATGGTGCAAGAAGACCACATTATGAAACGACGCCCAACCAACGACTAATTATTGGCATCTGAGGTTTTTATTGAGCTCACGTGTCCTGGTCCGTTATTCACAACCAATATCCTGCATTTACAGAACATTTTTAGTATAATTTTGGCCTTGTGGGCTTCTGGAAACACAAAACCCTGACAAGAAATGTCAAACTGCTAGAACACAGTGAGCTGTTTTACGACAGTGTCCCATATATATTTTCATGGTTTGTGACCGTGACAGCTCACGGCTGGTCGTTGGGACAGGAATGTTCTCATTTTAGGCAGAAGCCCCAGAACGTGGACCCATAACATACACAGACAAAAACAAACGTAGGACTGAAATCAGTCGTTATTATTCACAGTGACTATCGATTAGACTTCCATCACTAAAAGGCTCCATACGCCTTTCGATGGTATAACGTAGTTTTTCTACTGTTTTAAACACATGTCTGGCGCCATCACGTCGTGAGGCTTCTGGAGAACTGAAGGGGAGTTGGCACTGATGTGACATGCAGCGAGCAAGGCGCTGAGGCACATGCATGTCGGGTGTGCGCCGTACTTACACACGCACGCACACTACTTGTCCTCCTGCAACAGCACCAGGTCGTCAGCGACCACGTCGGCGATGTGCAGGTAGATGATCCAGTACATGAGGTTGAAGCACACAAAGCACACGGGGAAGATGATTCGCGAGTACTTGTCTATGTCGCTTGGCGTGATTCCGAGCAGCTTATTGTAGTCCTTGGTGGGGTGTGGCAGCAACAGAGGCTGCGAGGCCGGCCTACTCTCGCAATCCCCGCCCCGCCCGTTCACCGAGCTCACCAGCTCGCCGCCCTTCGAGTACGCCCTAGGGTCGTGAACTATGAAGCGCACGGCCTGAAACAGAGTGGGCCCCACCTCACCGACCTGCGAGCCTGCGAGTATGGTGACCAACTGCCTGTGCTGGGTCCAGGGCCGAGTGCCCGCCTTGCCTGCCTGCCTTGTCCGCGCTCACGCCGCCCGTTAACGGCAATACCCGTTTAAAAATGACTCCGGGCAAATGGGTTGCTCCACAGATGCGCGTTGGCTGAAGGAGGCCGAAAACGAAAGTCAGAAATGGAAGCCTCATCGCAGTACGCGAAATTGTCATAGTGTTTTCAGCGTCTGGCTGCTCCCGGATGCGGGGCGAAAATCGTAGGTGCTAGAATAGTTTATCAAACTTTTCATTTCTGACTTCCGGTTTTCTGCCTCTTTCACTGCAGCAGGCCTCTGAAGCACCGTATTACCGGAACTGGGCGGGAAACACGCGGGCGAAAGCCGAGGCACTGCCCGGGCTGTTTTCCGAACGGTGCCAGTTTGCGCCGGACCGAGTGCGCGCCTTCTTATTCTCGGGTGTTGCCCAGAATCACTTACAACAGGGGCAGTGAAGGAAAACGCGCTGGCCAGTAAGTGAATACCGTCCTTTGAAAACGAAACCCGGCAGCAAATATGCCGCGTACTTGTCTCTTATAATACTGGTTTTGTTATTTTGTTTAAAATGGGATATGAATGAGTTAGTGGAATGATTTTCAGTAAATATACAGTTTTGCTCGAGGTCTCGCCTTTGGGTCTCCGAGGCGTATGTTGATTGGTGAAGCAATGAATTGTCTATATGCTATGCTACTACTTTCAAAAATTTTGATTTCTGCCTGCACTATTTTTACATTACGCTCCAAACAACAGACAAAAATGGAAACTTTTTGTTGAATTTCAGAACGTTTTGTACATTTGCAGAGCAGTGACCGCCGCCCTCATAATTCGATGCCACACTCTTAGGCCGTTACTGATCATTTTACCCCTTTGTCGGTACTCCTGCAGCTTTACTTTTATACCTTTATTGGCTACTGACCACGCAGTAATTCATAATAATTCCCTTTAAAGTTACTAGCAATATCTTCCTTTATCAGTAAGTTACTAAAAAAAGTATAAAGAACTAAATAAAAAAAGGCAGCAAATCCAGCTGCATAAAAACGCAACTATATGGGTACTAATAAAAATAAATCAGTACAGGTCTGAGAGTGTAGAGTTGGAGACATCGCCAAGCAATCGCCGTGCCCTCCCCGCCACCTGTGTCCTACCGTAGTGCAAGCAGCACGGGAGTAGTGACAGCCAGGGATCGCAAGCTACACCTTGACTGTCATTACTCATAGGAAGAAATAGAGATAGAAGGAAAGCAAGTAAACTGTTATACGTCCAACTGATGTGTTGATAAACAAGAAATGGTTAACGTGTTTAACACGGGTGAGCGCGGACGGTTGGTTCACCATACTCTCTGACGCCATGCCAAGCAGTGTCGCACCCTCATGGTCCCTGATACGAAAGCCACTGCCAACCGTTAACCTTCTTCAAGGAAAGTTGCTTAACAGAAGTGGCCCACACAAACCATATTTTATCTCAGTTACACTATAGCGCATGCAGGCATGGGGACGCGTCGCTTACTCACTCGCTAGGGGCCATAAGGTGCCGTGGTGAGTGGCAAACCCACCCACACAGCTGCATGCGGTACAGTAGAGCTACAAATTTTGCCGGGTCTGTGGGGTATCCTATAGGCCAGTTTTTAAAACGAGACTTGAGATTCGATTAATTTAATGACGAAAGAAAAACGTGGCTAGGAAATTTGAACTTTGTGGGTTAACAGGTTGGCTTTGACTCGAAAAACGAAGTGTTATAAATTATCTCCTCTTCTACCATACATTGTCCCTTGCATTTAATACTTTCATTGGTGATTGATGCACACATTTCTATGCACTTTTGGAACTATTTCACCTTCTTTGGTTTAGTTCGAAAAAAATTACAAATTTTCCGCGGTTTATAGCCTGATTGTATGACATTAAGATTGATAGTATTTACCAAACATTTTCGGCCGTTCGAGCCACTACCACTCATGTAAAGACCAACGATATGTTGATACCTCGACAGACGATTCTTTGTGCGTTCAGTGAACCGGTTGTGAGAGTTTTCTTTTAGGTTAAACAATTAGCTTTAAAACTATTATATTTATCAAAAGGGGACACGTTTTTATCTGTTCCCAGAAAGGGACATAGATATTTACGTTACAAATTTATAAAAAAATATTTAATTTAAATTGAAGACATGTGTTTTGTAGAATCATATTTTCTGTGAGAAATATGTTAACTTTGTGCGAGGTGCGAGGTGCGCGTGCAGCGTGCAAACTTACCGTCTGCTTCGGCGCGTGTTCACCCTCTGGAGGCATTTCTGCCCCGGCTTTCTTCTGCTCAGCAATCTTCTGGATGGCGAGGAACCGGTTCTTTCTCATCTGTATTCTTTTGGCCATATAACCAACAGTCGCATACTCTGTAATAAATAGGTAGTAATTAGGCCATTGTAAGTGGCACTAGTGTGCCCTAACACTTAAATCTAATGACCTTTTCTCTTCATAGCGTATAAATTTCCCGGTTCGGTTCATGCATTTTGAATACGCTAGGATAAGGAAATTTGTGTGCACAGAAAAAGTTCAAAAGTTTTTAGTGTGTATGTCGTTCTTACACCCTTACTGGCGTTTTGAAAAGAACTTGCTACTCATTATTTGGATAGTCTTACTACCGAGCAAATGAGTTCAATGTTTATTTTCGAACAGTCAGCTGTGGATGTAGGTTACTCTCCAAGATAACGCCATTAGGTTTCATTTTCTGCATTAAGTTCACTCCACAGTAAATAATGATGACTGAGATTTTGAAAAACTGGACCTACGTTACATAAAGCATATGTAAGCATGTACTATGGCAAGTACATCCCTTACTATGTGCAATCTTATTTGTTAAGGCTACTAAGAAGCACACCGTTGGGTTTGTATTGTTGTTGGTTCATTACACATTAACAACACGAGTCATCAAAAAATAATTATATACAGGTTACATGCTAATTAACTAACATTGTTTTTTACAGTGTGTGCCACTCTAGAAAATATTGTTTCGTTTTTCCGGAAAAACAAACGTGACCTACAGGAGACATTTATGTAACTTACCTAAAAGCGAAGCGAACACCATCACGAAACAGGTGCCCAGGTAGATGTCAATTGATTTTACATAGGAAATCTTTGGCAGCGCAGCGTTAGTTGAGGACATTAGCGTTGTCATGGTGAGCACAGTGGTGACACCGAGAGATACTCGGGCTGGTGTAGCATTTCGGTTCAGCCAGAAGCTGACCCAGGAGATGATGACAATTAGTCCAGAGGGGATGTAGATCTGGATGAGGTAGTAGCCCATACTCCTCACGAACTGGATCTCACAGGCAAGTCGCGAGTAGTTTCCTGTCAAATGAATTTGATTAGCGCAAAGTCAAGGAAACCTTAACTAAAATGTTTTTGCATTTGGAAAATCTGCGGTTTTGGACGCATTGCTCTCAAATCGATTTATTTTTCAGCGCAAACTCTTGCAATTCCGGTCAAAGAGTGACCTGATGAATATGGGATAATCCAGAAAGTATGTCCGTTTTTCACAAATTCATTTTAGAAATTACGGGACCTCGGCGCCTGTGAGACTTGGGGTAGGTGAACCCGCATTACATGCATGTCCGCAGACAATATGTTGCCTACCTACCAGGCGCCATGAGAGCTCGCAAAGGCTGAACTTGGGGGGTTCGTATCGGCGAATGACGAACGTACATTGTGGATAGTCCCTATGGTGTTCAATTGCTTAACATTCATAAGTTGCAACTGCAATCCAAAGACTTGCAAGTGCCCTGTAGTTGTGTACTTGCACACTTTAAAAAATCATCTGATACTACGGGACTGGCAACGGACATTCCGTTATATCATAGTTTAGGAAAGAGGTACGGAAGAACCATTTGAGTTGGACCATGTTACTAAATTCAGGGTACGGACACGTCCGAAAAATAATTGCCGCTTGTATCCGTTAAATACGTTATACGGTTGCGTCGCACCCCACAAATGAGGTATGGAACAAGCCGGAACAGCTGGTTTGCTTCGACCGTAAAACTAAATTTAGGGTACGGACACGCTCGGAAAATAATTGCCGCTGTAGTCCGTTGTTTTTTTTTTTTTCTCACAGTGCAGGTGTTCAACTCGGTAGCTATGCTTTAGGTATGCAGCTCCGTTGGTAAACACCTTAGATTGGCAGCCCACTGTGTGGGAAGTGTTTAACAGAGGAGATCTAACTTAAAAAGGTTCAAATACCAAGTTAAACACTTGCAAGTATACTACTACTGAACCTGCAGTTTTGCACATACAAGTGTTAAGCTGTTGAACACTTGATTTATCAGTGAAATGACGTACACTCTAAACTTAACGGACCATTTTGTGCGCATCCAGACCGAATACAATTTTGTTCATAAAACAGGAAAAATTGTGTAAAATTTTACAATTTTTACCCAATTTTAGGAAACCTTTTCTGTCCCTAATGTGCACAAAACGTTGCCGTGAACAAAACACGGTTCTTTTTTAATTAGACTGTAATAAAGTTACTTCGGAAATTGATATAGAAAAATTAAAGTTTCGTAAAAGAATGACTGAGGGGTCAACTATCAATATATTTAATAAGTGGCAAACCAATTTCTACTAAAAACACTATAAAATACTACAACGTAACACATGCGAAACAATGTCAGAATAACAGCATTCAATAAGATCTGTAAGTTACATTATATAGCTATTAACACTAAAACCGCGCAAAGAAGGATCATTTTTGGCTTTCTGGCCGATTTTATTGCCCCCCCCCCCAGCGTGCAGTAAATTTGTAAATGGGAATTTTTTTGAAATTAAAATTTAAAGCCTCGGTGTTGGTTGTTTTGGCACCCATCCCACACATACGCAATAAATTTTCTGGCGTTCTTCATCCGTCCCATGAGGGCGGTCAGGAGGTGCTGTCTACGCGGCTTTCCGCTCTCTCTCAAATTCTTATTAGTCTTTTTTCAATTTAAGCGCCAAAACGCTTGTATCCACGCTTGAAATTTGTCAAAAGTGCAGAATACAAAAATTAATCCACTGAGGATTGAGGGTGTACACCGATTGTGCTCCCATTTCTGACATTCGCTTACATGAATGAATATAAATAACGGTTTGTCTTTAAAGAGAGCGTCGTCATAACTATCTTTAAAGTTGCAGAAAATACGCGAATCAATCCTTACGTAAAAATTAACCCTTCCGCGGTTCTAGTGTCAATTCTTAACTATGGTTGCGACGGCAGCAGAGTGGAGCCAGCTGCACTTATGAATCAGTATAACGACTAAAACAGTAAATTTTGGTCAAGTAATCATCTGCCAGTCCAAAAGTCCCATGCGCTTCATGGAATCCCATTAACACTTTTCCATGGCAGAAGGATCGTTTTCCATGAGCAGCCTCTTTTCCATAAGGAAGCAGCTAGGACCTTCATGGAAATTAATGTCACCATGGGGTCGGAACTAGCTTTCCATGAGACGTACAATGGAAACAGTGCCTATGCTACCATCACGTCTCTTTCGACAAAACTTCCCATGAAACTTAGTTAAGAGCGCTGTGAAATCTGTGTTCAATAGAATATCGGTCTAAAATTTAGTATGTAGCACCTTAGTCAAAATCTAGTAGGGCAATTTTGATTTCATTTCAATTTAAGCACTTTTTATGTTATCTCGTTAACGGCTTTAGCTGCGTGGAAACAGACGGATCGGATTCGACTCGGCCTCGGTTCTGACACCTCGAAACCATGCTTCGTTGACATCAGTAAGACTGACTTTGACTTAAGTAACCAACTGATTTACTCTTTAATTTACCATGGTAAAGTTGTCTATAGGCTAGGACTTGTTCCATGGCGGCCACGACATGGAGTTTCAATACAGGTCCATTGAAAAAACCGGAAAAAAAACTCATGGAAAAGCGGCAAAAAAGGTAAAGTTCTCCCTTGGAAAGTCAATGTCCCGTCCCACGACGTTTCATGGCAACCCATCGGTCACGGAAAGCTCCATGGGATTTTGGGACTAGGCTTTTAAGGCTTTGGAAAATGTTCCAAAATTGTTGTTGGTACTTTGATTTATGGTGTTTTTTCTTAGAACTATGATAGCTCCACTTTGCTTTTACTTACCGCTAATGGTCAGCAACAAATTTACAGAATCTAATTTAATTAACCATGCACATGTTTGCGATCCGTAGAAAAATATTCCAAACCGGTCACTATAAATATTTTAAGATCCGGCCTTACCTTTTAATAAGGCGTGGTAAAGAAGTAGTTTGTATTTAAGAAAAAAAGTTGTTAAATATTTAGAAAACTGGCGTGTTTCCTCATCGGTTTGTTGAAGTGAGTTACAAAGAATAAATTATGAAGCTTTATTTGATAAAAAGTCCTTACTTTAAGGGTTTTGTTAAACTGTTTTTAGAGTCGTTAGGACTTACCGCAACATGAAAGACACTTTTTCAAGTGTCTCGTTTGGACGGGGAATCAGAAAGCTTTACTGTACCTGTAAATCTCGTTACTTGAACAGTGATACGCAAAACTACCGAAGTTGTTGGGATATGTGCATGAATTATGTATACTAGAAATGTGAAGACGACGCTTCATAGAGCTATCCACCAATATTTGCTAACAATATGTAGTTTAACTGCTAAGCGGAATGTTTTGATTGATCTTAATACTTGACACTTAAAGAGAATAGATTTTGCAGGCTACAGAGAAGCTGATGGAGAGTTCCACGACTATATGCACCGTGTTATCTACTCTAACATGCATAGTGACCGTGAAAACTCTCCTTGAAGCGTGAACCAATGAACCCAAGCGTCACTTTTCCCATTAGAACAGACGTTTCTAGTCTGTTTTCTGGGCAGTTAAAATAATACTATACTCCCCAAATGTTAGGGTTGCCACATTTATAGATAAATTAGAGAAAAATGACTGAAAATTAAACTAAGATTCTGCTCCGAAGCGATAATAGCGCCCTTTATTTGTCAGATTAAAATAAGATATTTAAGAGTCCCGCATAAGAGGTCACGAGCCCCAAAACATTGCAGAGCTAACACTTCACCCTATGTTTTCCCGGCAACCCTAACCCCCATGTAGGCTCATCGGTCGCCATGACTCGGGCATGCGCGGCTCGGCCGGGAGCCGACCTCAGCCGATCGGCACGGCAAAGTTTGCAGCAGTGGCAGTAGCAGACTACTCAAACAAAACAAATATAATGTGAAGAGGTGGAGGGTGTAGAGCGGGTGATACCTGTGGTCAGACTAATTTCCATAGCTCTCTGTCGGTGCCCCAGGACTTTAAACTGCGGCAGAGAAACCTCGTTCGACACCCCCACCGAGTTGGGCCCCTCGTTCCATTTATAGCGGATGTCCCTCATTGTATACCCGACTGGACAGAGAAAAGAATCGGCATGAGCAATGCAGCCTGCCGGTGAACACTTACCTGCACACCAGGCCCCCGCCTGCCCTCCCGCTAGCCCACAACAAGACGGGAGCGACCCGCGCCGTACAGCCGGGCAGGGGCAGGCCCCCACTCGGCAATCCGGCCGGACAAAACACACAAAACAGCACTATGGGTGCTCCCGCACAGGTAGAGCGCTTGCCGCGGGCTGTACTGGTCTGTGGATGGGCGGGCAGGTCGGGGGCGGCGCCAGGCCTGAGTACCACTCGCATCGGAATCCATAAACAGAGCACAATGAACGCAGAAAGTGTGTATTGTCTAACAGCACGTGCGTTGGTTAGGATGAATTGACGACAGATATCCAGCGAATGGTGCGCTAGCCTGGCGCCCTGTGAAAGGCTCACTCCCTGGTGGCGAAAGAGTGAGTAAGTGAGAGCACAAACGGACGACAAGTGAGTGGCGGCGAGTCAAGCCCAATTCCGCCATATTGGTTTGGGTGCACGAGGTGGGTCGGGTCGCCGACTAATGCGACACCTTCAAATAAAAGCATAATACTTGTCTCGAAGAAAAGCGAGGATTCCGCCGCCCGGAAGCAGCCTAGCTGACATCCGTATACAAAGAGAAAATTTGTTTATCGCGAAATGAGGAGAGATATCATCTAGAACTTGCGTCAGATTGCCCGTTGAATATAAAAGAGAGTCGGCTACGTTCCGAAGTACTTGCTTTTGTTTCTGAAGTTGGCAACAGGGTGCCCTCGCTTTTGTTCGACGACTCAGCCGGGGAACCAGACAACTTCCTGTTCGAGGCTTCCTTTACCCGCAATCGCATTTACTTTGAGGAAGAGCTCTCGACAGCAGGAGAGTTCCGCTCGGCTCCGCCCGGCTCGGCTCGGGGAAGGAGAGGTGAAGAAGAGAATGCAAACAAGCATGGCTTAACCTAGGAGAGATCCAGGACTACCTGTGGACAGGTTAATTTCAGTCGTTTTTTGTCTGTGCCCGAGGACGCGGAACTGAGGCAGCTGCACCTCTTTGGCAATACCCACAGAGTGTACCCCTTCTCTCCACGCGTACCGAATATCTTGCATTGTGTACCCAACTGTGTGTGAGAGACACAAACAAAACAAAAAATAAAAAAATAGAAGAAATCAGCTAAATCGTTTATCGTCTATTAGTAGCAGTCTGCATATTAAGAAAGTGCGCATCGGGCTTCGAACATCTGCTTTCTTTCCCACCCCCACACGCCACCTGAATGGTCGCAGTGAGAGGAGGTTTTCCTTGCGACTCGTAAACCGGTGCGCGCTTAGAGATAGTAACAACATACACAGCTACATTACAAAGTACAAGAACAACAGTACAAGTCACACCATAAAATCCAATCATTCCAGTCTAGGGATAGGTATTATGCTAACAGTTATAGCGCTCAGGTATCGCATCAGGCAGCGTCGCACTACCAAGCCAGAGAAAAACAAGGCACCCGAGTGGCCACTAGAAGCGCCTCAAAGAAGTTGAAAAATCCGATTTCCTTTTAAAATTGTCTGGCTAGGAACAGTACTTCACTCGGCAAAGAGCAGGTGCGTCGGATCACACTCTGTACCCTAGTGTGAAATGAATTTTCTTCGACGTCGATTCGATATCTATTCAACGGAAGAATAATCGGATAATAGTCACTTTATCCACCCAAATCCACGTCTTTTCTAAATTTCGACGTCGAATCCACGTTAACATTTCTCACTGGGTACTTCCTGCTATGTAAAAGGTTCGAATCCATTTAAAAAACTGCCAGAAATGCCAGTAAGTGTGTCTATTTAAATAGAGACAGCGTTCTCTATGAACTGCAAAGGAAATGTGGTTGTCCACACCTATAGATTTCACGAAAAAAAAAAAACTCCAAATAAATCTTTCGACAGCGCATTCACGCCATCACCCTTCCTTGTTTTTGAAGTGATATAAAAAGCAGGAAGCGACGGCAAGCAGAGAGATGCGCATGCAGAGACTTCCGCAAAATCGGTGGCTGCTTCGTGCGTAAAGCTCTGACTACATTTCATAATTCCATGGTGTTGGCCATTGGTTTGGCCAAGAACTTACTCCGTTCTGTAAATTCTGAAATCGTCAGCAAACGTTGTAAGGCAATTTTAAAAATTTACAAAAAAAAAAAAACAAAAAAAAAAAACAGACGTGTCCGGCGAACCAAGCCACGTCTGCGGAGCTCGCGGTAACAAAGCCAGACCTGCCCCGGCCGAGTGCCCGGTAAGAAAGGCACATCTGCGGAACACCCGGTAACAAAGGCGCATCTCCATAAGAGATCCTACACACATGCCTCTTTTTTTTACCGGGGGGGGGGGGGGCAATAGTTAGCATCCCCTTCGGAGGACACTTCCTGCGCCCCTGCTTTAGGGGTAGGTTTGGTGCTATAAAGGTTATAGCTGCTTAGCCTTGTCGTTTTCAGTTTCAGGATTCCGCGAGTATTTGTAGATAATGAATCTGATTCTCTTCTGTTTTATGAGCTTTAAAATCTGGCCAAGGCTAAAAGCATGAGCGTGCACATAATACTACTTGTGCATTTCTAACCTCGTTCTATACGTCTTTTAAAGAAAGGTGACGATCTTTCTCCTCTACTTTTACAGCTTGTTTACTGTTGAAACCTATGCAAATCTGCTGGAAGTTAATCGTTTGCAATTCGTCTTTAAAATGCTAGCTAGTGTATGGCAAATCAACAGATCTTTATCGTGCTTCTTGAAATGCAAATTTGTGGCATCACAGGAAACTAGTTCGTTGTTACCAGAAATTCTAAAACAACTGAAGCGGACTTAAGGCAACCAAAGCATGCTTGAATTATAGGACAACAAGATGCCAGTTATACTGCAGAAGTTTTTTTTCTAATGCCGCGGCGGTCGTTTTTGTAAAGCAATGAAATATAATTTTTGCTGAAGATTGTTGCGGGACGTGTAGTGCATTACGGATCGTTCGATGGGTCCTACAAATAAATGCCCATGTCTCGTGCATCTAAAACAAAGAGGCCGATGACCCGGAGGCCTATAACAATTAGGCCGATGTCCCGGAGGTCTAAAACAAAGAGGCCGATGTCTCTTGGACATTGGACTTCGGACCTTTTGTTTCCAGTGAAATGCGGGCGAACAATTGGGAATACAAATGAATGACGAATGTCCAATCTACATTTTACGTCTTGGGTGGTTTCGTCATATTCCGCACGGATTTTCCGTACTTGACTGAAGGGGAAAGAAAGGTCCGATGTCCACTCCACGCGGCGCTCGGCACATCAGTCTTTCTTAAAAAGCAGCGTGAAACATCGGCATCTTTGTTTTAGACGCGCGAGACATCTGCGTTCATTCCTAGGACCCATCGCATAAAGAGATAAAAAAAGCAACTGTTTATAAGGGAAAAAAAACGATAACAAAATATGCGTAGCCTGCAAGTATAACTACATCCGCGCCCCATAGTCAGCAGTAGATGCACAATGCAGTTTGTACTCTCGCGTCACACGTGAGTGATTTCGTCGCGTTATGAAAAATGTACCCAATCATCTTAATGCTCTTTTTTCTGCCTGTTTACGAATCTGCTCTCCTTCCCCGGGCACGACGTTTAGTGCTGTTCATGAGAAGGAGACCGCGCCAACAACAAAACCAATCAGGGATGCGGGAGGGCCCGGGACGGTCGAGGTGTCCGAGCCAGAGGATTGGTTCCCCCGCGCCCCCGCCCCGCGCCCTCCTTTTCTGGGGCTGACTCAGCTCGCTACGTCACGTCATGCGATGACGGGGGACCATCTGAAAGTAGCGCTCGCTATGGGGTGCGTGATTAGGAAAGAAAACGATTAGTTCAGGTAATTGACTGTGCTCTGGGAGGCGAAAAGCTGCAATTCCCACGCGAAGCAAAAAAGAAAATATATATTTTTACTCAATTAATGTGACAAGCCCTCAATGCGAGACGCCCCAAACTTGTGTGGTCCCCCCTCGACGTTTCATGAACACCATAACAAAGACAGCAGGAACAAACAGGAACACGCCAGAACAGGTAAACCTGCAAATACATGTTTCATAGAAAAGTGTTTGGCAAATCGATTCAGTTTGCTCAGACACAGTGCGCTTTGCTGCAATCAGGTAAATTATTGGTTTGAAAAAGTGCCAGTAGATTGCCTTCTGGTACCATCATTCTAACGTTTCACAACGATACCTGTACAAAGCTAACTATTTTTTTTTTTCAGATCAGGCTGCACCGTGTAGAACACAATGAAGGATATTTGCTTAGAAGTAATAATAGTACATAAACCTTGTGCTTCTCGGAAGTCTGCTGCAAACATTGATTGTCTTACGAAATAACCGCTCGACCTTAGTACGCTTGTAATGTATTATTGCACTTAAACCATCACCAGTCCATCTGTTAGATTCTGTGCACTAATTTGGTTTACACGGAACATGGCAAAAACATTGAAACAGTACATGGATTGGTATATGCACCATTAGAATATGGACCTTAATAGTACCTGGTTAATAAAAAAGGTGTGCTTTTCTATGATTGATACTTACAGCTTTCTATTTCAATGTGGCATAATTGTCTGTCCATGGGAAAGTATTGAAGATTCATTGGACAAGAAGCTGTGATAGTTAATCTGAAAAAGAAAAACAACACAAACGTGATTTATAATCAAACAGTACGGTACTAATTTCCTCCTCAAAACGTAAAATTGTAACTTACCGAATCGATCTTGTAATGGATCCTGAGTGGTGAATACGAATGAACTCATTGCTGGTGGTTGCGATGTGAAAGTACGACTGCTTTTCGTTCACGAAGAATGTGTCAGGCACCCAGATATTTTTGATGAACTCTGAGCCGACGCTGAGCGTTTCGACCCCTGGCCTTTTTCTGAAGGCCAAACGTGGGTCCGTCCAGAATTGCCGGAAGTAAAAATCAAGTGTGAAGTCCTGGAAAGAACAAAACAAAATTTTCGCTTATAGTTCTCATCTAGAGCCAGAACACTACATATCGCCCAGTCTGTTTCTTTCTCTGAATTTCTTTTCTCTCGTTTAAACATATTCTGAGTCAACGTTTGACGCCACATCAACGGCACGTTTGATTACTTAGTCGAGCAAACTTGAAAGAAACAGACTCTGCTGTCGCCGAAAGGTCTGGGCCAAATGCAAGAGGCGGAGGGCGATGCAAACGGTGCCATGAGCCGTGCCCATTCATCAATAACCCAATTACTAAGGCTCGGCGGGGTGCGCTGCGCCGCGTCGTGCGTTCAGGGAATTATTAATTTCCGATCACGAGCTGAACCAGCGGCGGAGCAGCGAAGGCAGCCTGAGGGTGTGGTGCCGCGCCGACGACACTGGCTACGCTACGCCGTCGTCGAACTCCATGCCCAGGCTCGGCTCGGCCCTCAGCCAGCTCCCCATACCCTAACCTCGCTTCCCCACACAGCCCGTTTCGTTGCCCAACCTCGCGGTGCGACCTTGTTGTCTATCTGTCTTCTCCTTCTCGTCTGCCCGTCCGGCCCCCCC